AATAAGAATATATGAGATTTCATGGAATACCTAGGGATATATAAATAAAATAATAATTAAATATAAATATATAAATAAAATTTCTGTAATTACTTGATATATAATTATTGTTCCTATCAAAAAAAAAATAATAATATAACGAAATATTTTCATTGATGTGTCGTTTCACTAAACTAAATCTAGAACAATTGATTCAGACAGAAGTAAAAAAAAAATAGAGACAGTTGATTTTTCCTTATTATGAACCTAACGTTCAATGAAAACCTCTTTAGTACTCATATAAGATTTGTTTAGGCGCAACTTATTAAATAAAGCACATAGCTTTATTTAATAACTTGTACTCGTATCTGTTTCTACGTTTATAATGTTATCGACATAGTTTGTGTGTAGTTGAATTAAATTTTAATTCGTACTAAATATTCATAAAAGTTTATTTCTGTTTCATTTTGCTAAAATTAATTGAATGAAATTATTTATCACTAAATATATAATAACATTATATTACTTATATACTTTTTTAGGAAGAAGACATTGTCATTGATTCAAATATCGTTATCTTTCATAATCTAGTAATTTCCCTAGAGAAAACACTACATATAAAATGTCTAGATAATTCACAAAATCCCTAGTATCCTCATTTTCCTGCAACATAGATACCTAAAAGTAATCGTCGATAAAGAGCTCGGGCCAAACGATTACCTGGCTACCATGAAACATTTGTTTTTATTGAAGAACTGTAATCGCCGCCTTTAAGTGGTATTCGCTTAAATCAATTAATTGGATTGATTGAAAGCAATCAAATACAACAGCGCCCGCTTGAAATATTTTTCTTTTTGAAAAATCAAAATTTTAAAACAAATCAAGTAGTTAGGTATCTGATATATTTATAGTTTGTCAATAAATAATACCTACGACAACAACTTTTGATATAATTATCTAAACGGTCAATTACCTTAAAAGTAAGTTTTATTATCACGAATAAAGAAAGACTGTACAAAAGACGTCTGCTTGAGTACCTCTGTTCCACTCGTATTTTTGCCGTAAAACAAGCAGCTGTAGTCGCATGGCTCTGTTTCAATTTGTAAGTAGGTAGGATATGGCATAGAAAACAATATAGTTCTCTAGAATGACAACGCGTGAGAGGTACTATGACCATCACAGTGTAGGTATTTGTGATATCCGTGGTCGCACTACCGAGTAGAAACCCAGTAGTGCGTAGCATAGTATTATATTATCTGTGTATGAAGAGAATCATACTTGTAATATATACGAGTATATAGTTAGACAGTTTTATCTGACATAAATAGACAACATATTCCTGGATAAAAACAATATGTATTTTTATTTCATTTTTCCTAAAGAATATCTTTATATAGAATATATTAATTAAAATAATTATACTTCTCTAATTAATAATCTTTTTATTAATTTCAGTGTCATGTATTGAACTTAGATTATAGTATTTAATTATTAAGTCTAGTCGTTTACCATTAAAAAAAATAATTAAAATAGATTTAATGAAAAGAATATTGTTAATATAAATTCAATGTCCCAAACCACAATGCTAAAATATTAATAGCGGCTTTATATATGGAATTTATTGCAAAACAAACGATCACCAGGGAGTTTATAACGGAACGTGACTTGTTTAATGTGAGCATAAAAGATCAGGAGATGCCAACTGGAGTAAAAAAATCTTAGACAGTAGTACAAACACATTATTCAGTTAAAATTAAAATGACACTACGTCCTTTTAATATTCTATTATAGAACATAAGTATACCTAATGTAAACAAACATTCATATCACTACATTTACACATAACATATGGAATGTAATTTGTATTTAATTAATAATAATAATGTAATTGTTAATTTTATTTGACTATATTGAATATGTAATTTGACTTGATAATTGTTTGAGCATTTTTTCTTTTTTTTATTATTCTATGATCATAATAATGTACTAGTATAAATTAAATTTGTATCCTTATTTAACGAATCTTAGATTTGCATGCTCAAGACAATATGCCAAAAAGTTGTGTCACACTATAATGTCAAATGTCTGTTTAAAGCAAATAAATATTTCATTTCATATATATTTCATTTCATTTCATTTCATTTAATTTTTCATTTCATTTCATTTCATTTCATTTCATTTCATTTCATTTCATTTCATTTCATTTCATTTCATTTCATTTCATTTCATTTCATTTCATTTCATTTCATTTCATTTCATTTCATTTCATTTCATTTCATTTCATTTCATTTCATTTTGAAGAATTGTTTGGAATGATTCCACAGCCCCCTTTTATCGTTATACCGCTCACCGTCAAAATTCATTCTCACTCTCTAAAGCTCAAAACAAGATTCACACTATTTGCCAGGCTCGATTCGTATATAAGAAGCAATATATTTATTTAGACTACAATCTAGACTCGTTCCGACCAATCTTCTGACCACGTTGAGACCGAGAGCGAACTGAGACCGGTATTATAGTGGTGATTCAGTCTACTCGTATATGATCACAAACAGTGTTATTTCAGAAGAATCATATTCTCCCGCGAAGGTTTTACCTATGACTACAGTATGAAGTTCTTTAAAAAACCTCACGCCTTAGCTTAATATTGGAAGGGCTACCCCCCAATAATTATTGTTAATAATGAAGACTAACTGGTTCCCCCTGGAAACTATCATGCTGAATTCTAGGTGTATTCATCACGATGGGCTAACTGATCTGTCTTTCATCCTCACTGGTGTTCCACCGGTATATATCGTAAGCACGGGTGGGGTCTACCATTTCATTGTCACTCATTAAAAAAAACTTTTATTGTACGTACAATTCATGCAACTGGTTGCAGTTTCTTCCTCACTCGAGGAAAAAATGGTCAAAGTGAGCTTCACTACTAATATGAATAGAAGTGTCATCGTTAATAATCTATAAAGATTTTTTTCTTAAGTTGTAACTACTGTTCTCGTATAACTACCCGTATTGCGAGTCTCTAGTAGTCGGAGAATATTATGATGATATGAATTCAGTCCGTGTTCCGGTTACAGGACGCAATATGTCTTAGACCTTGAGTACATAGCTGACTTCTCATGTGAATACATTATACTTTATTAATTTTATTACTTAATTATTGTTTTTGATGTGAGCTTAAATATATCTATAGTTATATAGAAAGAATAGAGATTGTTAATAAATGGGAGGCTAGTCCCGTATTACTAACAATATACTATGTGAGGGCGGAATCCACGCGGTCCCCTCCGGAAACCATCATGGTTAATTCCTGTTGTATTCGCAACTATGGACGAACTAACTATACTAACTAACCAGAGGGAGACTGTACAAAAGTTGATTGCTTGGGTAGTTCTGTCCCATTCGTGTTACCACCGTGAAGCAGTTGTGTTTGCATGGCTGTGTTTCGGTTTGAAGGGTGGAATATGACGTGAATTTACAAGGTACAGAGGAATAACACCCGAGTCCTCAGGAATGGCAACGCATGGGGTGTATCATGGGCGAAACAGTATACTCTGTTATGTCCATGGTACTGGTCATGTCTATAGGCGACGGTTACCACTTTCCATCAGGTGGGCCGTCAGCTTGTTTGCCATTCTAAGTTACATAAAAAAAACTAATTTGACTTTTTTATCATCGCTTCATTTTCCACTAGTAGCCCGCTGTTTTATACCATTAGCATAGGCGAGTTACACCATTGCATCTTCATCCATAAATAAAAGTACTTACAATATACTTTATGTGATAAACATCTCTAAAAATTTTATCTATCGCTTATGTAAATCATATGATATGATTTATTGATATAAAACTCTTACATTTAGGCTTGCGAGACTGTTTCGTTTTGAAGGGTATTATTATATGGTATTAACAATAGTACTAACTTTATGGTGTGGAGGTGAGGTGCGGTCAAGCAACACCCAAAGACGCTTAGGTCCAAGACGCCTCTTGCGCGCCTCAAGAGTCGCGCATAAATGAAGGAGAAATAGTTCTCCGATCGTTGGGCACATCCAGTTAATTTTTTTAAGGGCGACATCAAAAGTTTTGCCCAAGAGCATGCCAGGTAGGATGGGGCTGATTGTGTATGATACGGAGTACCATATAATTTTACTGCCATACATACAACATGTATTCTTAGTTCTTATTCTGTTGGCGTTTTAGCAATGTTGCTTGGTCATATGTAAGTATACATAGACAACATACATAGAATACATAAATAGATAGGTAAGTATAAATAGACTATGCTATAAGCATAGGTACATACATATTTAATAATGAATATAAGACCTTATAATTATTATTATGGTTCTTATGTACTTAAATTTCAATAGATTTCAGACTCAAAACATTAGTGCTCTGAACAATTGTTCGGATGGATACCTGTTGCTGATTTTCAACACCGTACAACCGCCATAAACTAAAAGTTTTATCCTAACCATCTGGACGAGTGGCGATCTTCCACCGTGCGTTTTTCAAGGCACTTTCTTCCACAAACAACCACTGTTTCGAATCAACTTCCAGCAGCAGTATTTTCGAACCGATACAACATCATAACCTTCAATAAAAGAGTATATTTCTTTTTAAAAGGCCGGCAGCACACTTGCAATGCCTTTGGTGTTGTGGGTGAGCATGGGCGGTGGTAGTCACTTACCATCAGGTGAGCCGCATGCTCGTTTACCCAGTCTTATATAAATAATGTATCATATTCTATAGTTTATTGAATAGTATAATTTTAATATGGGTATGAAATATTTGAAAATTTAGTTTTCCGAGGTTATAAAGCCTATGAATAAAACGTGGTATGAATATCATAGAATACTTGGAGTCCAAGACGCCAATATACCCTATCAGGTAGATCTTCATTGACGTAGTCCCCCCTTGGAAATGATCGTGGAGACATCTTGACGCATTCACAGTTGCGTCAACAGAGCTGACTTCACCCTCACCATTAACTGTGACTATGTTACAAATAAAAAAAAGTGTTTCAATAATTTATTTATTTGCTTACAAATTACTTACTATCTACATCTAAAGTCCACTAATGGTTCTGTATGCTCGCCTTGATTAATATTCAAAGTTATTCTAAGTCCTTCCGATATAAACTTAAACCATTGGACAATCATAATAGCAAGTCGCGGAACTTATTTATACCCAATAATAAACTAGATAATATAATAAAATAATATTAAACTAATTATCATATTTCGAAACTCCCTATTTAGAAGAAACTTCAAATCAAAATTTCAAGTGACCTATAATAATATTTTTTTCACAAAAATGTTAAATATTTATTACAATTAAATACCTAAATGTGTTCATATATTCAAAATACGTAATATATACACATAGATAAAAATTAACTGACATTTATAAATAATATAGAAAATGTTAGTCGCCATTTCGTAGTGATGTTATATAATATTATAAAACATAAGAAAGTGCGAATAAACACAATATTAAAATATCATTATTAAATCGATCGATTCACATTTAACATTAAAGTAGCATTCGTGAAAAATTGCATACTCTTGTAATTATATACTATCATATTAACAAGATCTTAAAATGGTACAGATCACTTCTTAAGAGAAAAAAAAAATAGTAAAAAACAAGATTGAGCAGTCATACGATAAATAATTACAAAACTACTTAACAAGTAAGTCTAAAGTAATCGAATAAAAATTAAATTTATCTATTACAATTTAACGCACCGGATACCCATATTTTTTTAAATAGCAGTTATAACTTAGCATTTATTTATAATGTCCAATCAAAATGTATACCTATCTCCTGGATACAGAATTAGTTGTAATGTCTATACCAAGCCCAAACTGAACAATTTCCCCCAAGAAAAAAGTGAAACGCTTCCTGCTTATTTGTTTTCCGTCAAAAGTGAATAATCATCTTTTGAGTAAGCGCGTTTCAATCTTAGGTTTTGCAGTCATTTTCCATCAGATTTGGGAAAACCAAACGCGAATCTATAATAGTTCAATAATATACTTTGTAGTTTTAATATTAAATCATATATATATATATATATATATATATATATATGTGTGTGTGACGTATATTTATTTATAAAAATAAGTAATTTAAAGATACGATTATGAAAAGTGATTAAGTGAATAATTAGTGAAATTATTTTAAAACTCTTATCGCATGATTAGAAAAGCTCTCATGGCGTCACTTTGAAGTAAATAAACTGCCAGCTTGTGCCACAACATCAAATATAATCGTTTATACAAGTGTATATTGTACAACCCTAAATAATTTTGTTACACTTACCTGCATACCTGATTCATTGTTTCGTAACAAAATTATGTCGAAAAATACAATATTTATCAAGTTTTTTTTTTTTCTTTAAATAGCTATACGGTTTAGATTTTTCTTTTCAGCCAATTCATTTATGAAATTGATTCAATCAATTTTAGATAATTATAATTTCTTTTAAAAGTTTTACATTATATATATTTTTGTGCCTATATAAACAATCTTACAGTTAAATTATTAGATATATTGTTTTTTATTTTTGTTTTTAATAATAATATTTTCCCATTCAAGTGAGATACAGTTGTATAAATCACCGAATGTTGGCATTTTGGCTAGGTTTATTTTTAATGACATTTTTGTTAAAAAAAATTAAATATTAAAAGTAATATATCATATATGAATATTATCTAGCAGGCTGCTAACAGATTTCTTTATCTGAAATTAACGATAATGTGAAATTTAAAAGAATATTCAAAGGTTTTCGATAGTATATCTCACAAGGGTTTAATGTTATACATATTTATTACGATCTGATAAGGCAATATAAATTTAACAATATTAACATTGTTATTTCGCACATCTGTTATGTATGTGTTTAAATAGTTATTGCAAATAAAAAGCAATGTTGACATCAATTTTAGTACAATACACAATATTTGGCAAGCTAAATTCGTACAGTATTGTACAAAATTTTAACGTGTCTATCAGACTCGAAAAAATGCTAAATATACTTGTTAATCAAACGATAGTCGTATAGAATCAACATAAAAATGACATTAAATCGTCGGCAATTAAACGATTACCATTTAATTTTACTGTTTTGTTTTATGCTTTTTATTTTGTATTTTATAATTACGTGTATGTTGGAGTAAAAAATAAATCATTCATCTAAATAAAACGTTTTTAATTATAATCAAATGCATTTCTAGGCAATGGAATTTCAATTATTCTTTATGTATAAATAATTGTAATATAGTGTTGCATGACTATATATTTTATTAAATACGCAATCGAAGATTACGGTCACAATGTGAGTGAAACGTCAACAGAGTATCTGTCTCTCTTCCTACGATTATATTACAAGGAACGTTCACACACAGTGTAAATAGCAATTTAGCAATAATTATACGCAAACGTAATAGTTTACGTATAGTAAACACACAATCGATTTGTGAAGTACATTTTTTTATTATTTTCACTTATAAAGTATAACTATTATAATTAATCAATCAATTACAAGTAAGACAAAAGCATAACAGATCACCTAATATTACAGTCATATCGTCAATCAATATTGAAGTGGCTAAAAAAACATTTTTTCAAATAAGATAACAATTTTTAAAATTATAATTAATATGATCCACCTGAATGATGAAAATTTAAGTGATAATTCTTAAATAGTGAAATTCACAAACACGTTGTATTTCGTTTCATTTTTCATCACAAAAATACAGTCCGTTTTTGTATATAAATAATTGTACTTACAATATCGATGACAATGAATGAAAACAAAAGACATTACTATGTTAATAATAGATCCAAATAGTGAAGAACAATGTCCAATCTATTATAAACCAAAACCTTACATTTTCACGGTAGATTCTCACTTTAATGTCTTTTATAAGGAATTATAACAATAAAAGAAAAAAAAAATTAAAAAGAAATCGTATCGACAGTTGTCACGTTTGGTCATAGGACTTGTGTTTTCTTTTTCTAAGGTGCATATATTTTCTATAAGTTCCAATGTATTCCAATATATTCATAAAAACTTTAATTAAATAAAAATACTTAAAAAAAAGTAATACAAACATTTTTGTTTAGTTTCTTGTTACTGTTGCAATATAATTATTAGATAATTACATAAAATACATAAGACAATTTTTCCATGCCACCTACAAGTCACATTACCATCGCCATTTGCTGAGAAGACTCAATAACATTCTATACATATACTATATTGATTAAACTCAATCATTAAGTATTTCTATATAGCATTGAGTTGGCAGAACTACTATTAACTGGGCGGACGATTTACATCTGGGACAACTTACAGATTACAGATTACGGACGCGTACAGATTACCAATATCTTAAATATTTCTGAAACGCTTTATTGGACTAAATGTATATAGTACCTGCAATTTTTTTTTTGTTAGTCATAATAAACAATATTGGCGTACCTTTTAATCGAAATAACAGTGCGTTAAATAAAATAATGGCAAGAATTTATTTCATTATTTTTTTTTTCTTTTTACATGCTCTGTAATTGCTTCATTATTAAAAGAAAAGTCAATGGATTAATTAAATAAAAGAAAATCTTACTAGCATTCCTGTAATACATAATAAAGCAAAGCTGTCTAGCAATTTTTAATATTCTCATGTTTGGTATTTTGCTAATAACTTACGTATAAATTTTATACTAATGTATGTATATTGGTGCACCCAAAATGGTCAATTAACATATATTTTTTCAACAAATACAAGAAAATATAATCATTATACCGAACACGGTAACAATAGACTATGTATCTATAAGGTGCCCAGTTAATAGCGCTCCGTCAATATGATTCTTAAAAAAACACAATAAAATCACATATTCAGTTAATTGTACACCCTTATAAACCTATATTAAATTTAAAAAAAATCGTTAATAAAAGTTTTATGTAAATTAAATAATCTGAAAATCACATCACACTTGACTCCCAATTTGGAAGGATTAATATATAAAAAAGAAAACTTGAATACACCATTGTAACATTGATTTAAAAGGGTGCAAACAATAATATCACTGCCCCTCACTTACGTACTGATTGCCGACAATACGAATATAAACATTTTATTAATAAGATTTAATTAAATACATAAACATTCAAAGATCCTCTCTAATAAATATCACAGCGTCAAGACCTCTAAACTTTGCGGTCTTTCATTATTTTTACTTTATACAGAATATTAATATGAAATTTCTAAATATGCACTCTGTCATGATTAAATATCTTTCGTATAGTAACAGAGTACGTATACAATGTTACCGCTTTAAAACAAATATATAATACACACGAATCTATTCATAGAATCATTGTAGTTAACAAGTCCATGAGATAGAATGAAATGGTGACATGTGCTGTCTTGTTCTTTCTCATGTGAATGCTGACCGAAGCGATTCTATCGATAGATTCGTTTGTATCTTGTCTATGGGTTCAGAGCGACATAGGAGACGATTAAAGGAATAAAGCACAGTATTGGAGAAGATAGACTATATATAATAAAACTACACCGTGCTAATAGTAGGCTATTCGTAAAGCATTCTGACCCCATAGATGAGGTTATTATAGCCCTTTTTTATAAATAAACGTGCATACCAAGAAATGGGACGTTAACAAATTGTTACAGTTATGAAAATTTACCAATTTTAACGTAACTGCAAATAAGTTTGTGAACAATAAATCCCTGTATTAAACAATAATAAAGAACCACAAAAGTATGGAGATCGTGACGTTGCCTTTATTAGTTAGGCCTCTTAAGCTAGCGACTGATCTGACATTTTATTGTAACATTCGTAACGAGTATTTACTAAAATAACGTAAACTATGACTTGTCGCATCATTCCACCATCACAACTTATCAGTTAGTGTGGAATAAACCTTTAGGCTTATATCTACTATGTCGATCACGGTTCATTTTCTGTCCAATCTCAGTCTGGTAAAATATTGTCAAGTAAATATGACCACGAATTTGATCATATCTGAAACTTGACTGTTATAGATAGTATGAATACACACATATTTTCTTATGTGATAAATAATATTTTATTAGGCCATAATTGGACCGTAAACGAACTATAATCAAAACTTTATTCTGAATGTAGGCTTAATGATCAATTTATAGTGGTTCCCACACGCTTCTACGTGTGCAGGCATTTGTATTAATAATGCATATGGAAGCATAACACTTCAGTACACATAACATTTGTCTATTTTTATTAAGAGAATTTTATTTACAATCGATTTCTCACTGTAAATTGTACCGGATGAGAGATCGCCTAATGTGTGGACACATGCAATATTAAATGCATGAATTCTCATGTATTTTAGAAGAGAAAATAAGATTGTAGATCAATGATTATGCTTTGACATGATGGTAACTTGTAATGGCCCACTATGGCCATAATTGCAGATTATGGCCATAGCATAGCATTATATTTTATTATGCTACGAGTAACCAAACCAGTGCGAACCAAAGGAACGGAATTGAGGAAAAGAAAAAAATCGCAAGGTATCGCTTTACTTGGCAAGCCATTTAGTTATATACATTTAAGCCGTATACTCAAATTGCTAAAGTTAATTTTCAAATGTCTCCTAGTCGCCACTTCTTTTGTCTACTATGCACTACAGATCAGTCGCCGCCTTTTAACAATTAGCCTCTCTCACGTGCCTGAACCGATGGTATCTAGTTGGTAACCGCGCTAGCCTGCTTGTGCCGCCGGTGGTCGTAGTTGACTAGCCGTTGTCCCACTAGGTACTTGTCGTTCTTTATGTGCTCGTACAACTTGCGGAATTGCCGTATCTGAAAGAAGTATTTTTAAATAAAGATAGAACGAATAGTGTAACATCTTTACATAGTAAAAAAAACAAATTTACTTCTGTTTGTACACTTACAACTTTCAAACTACGCAACGGATTTCATTGCGTTTTTCATCAAAAGACATGAGTAATATAATGAAAGGTATATTATATTATATGTATAATAAAACATGTGCATATCACATAATAGAGAAAAACTAAGAATTTCAAAACTTGTTGTAAGAAACATATTTTTGTGCGCTTACATTACAAACACTTACGAGATAGATCAAAATAATGTACTGCAGAATTGTATATCTTAAAAAGATCTATGATATCTAAGTTATGTCTGCCTCCTAAGGATAACTCACAGTAACCATTATTATATTTTACATATTACAAAAAAACAAAATAAGTTTTACAATACTCGATGTCCATAGACGTTGAATGTCATTTTTTATAAGGTGAGCCGTCAGTTTGTTGTTGCACAACGTACCTGGAAGGTGGTGAGGCCGCACAGCACGGCGATGAGCAGGAGCGCGGGGTAGACGCGGCGCGCCAGCAGGTTGCGCTGCGCCGCCGACGTCACCACCAGCGGCGCCACGCTGTGCGCGAACGCGTACGGCACGGCCAGCGCCAGCCCCAGCCAGCACACGATCGGCGCCGCCACCGACCGCAGTATGAACCTGCAATAACAATATAATATACTTACATTATATAAATAAAGCATTGAGCCTCAAAAACGGGTCAAGTTTTTGTCAGCTAATTGTCAAATTAGCTGACTCGTTTTTTTTATCAGTATTATATATATTTATGCATGAAGTGTATCTTTACGTATTATTTAATAAATAAAATGAATGTGTATACTGCAATAGTTATAAAGGAATCAATATCACTCAAAATTCTATAAAAAAATTGACTCGCTTTTCTCGTAGTATTTTTATGAAGACATCATATATTAATCAAATATTTATTAACTTTACAACAGCTAGTGCATGGCGACAAAACCTAACAAAATAAATACCCAGTAAGTGCAAACTACGTGTATGTGAATTCCGCAAGTATTGGTTATTTATTTGTTTATTAGTTCTATTAAAATTGCTTAAAAGTTGCTTTCTAAAATAAAAATAAAATAAAACATTTTAGAATATTTTGACGAAGTAGTAGGCTAAAGTTCTTAATTTAAACTTTACTGGCTCTAAAATTTAATATGATTATTTTAAATAGCAAAAATTTAAAATTTCCAAATTAATAAATTTATCTGAGATTATTATGGTAAATTATTAATTAAAGATATTAATTTAAAGTAATTTCATATTAATAGTGTAGAAAAAATTTATTCTAGAATTCCTGATACATTTCAATTCATTCGCAGATACAGTCTAGTATTTGGAGGTTTATGGAAACTGGTGTTAAAAGTATAAAATTTAATGTTATTATGAAACTGTAGAATTGAATACATAATGGATGAGAACTATACTGACTTTAAATCCATCTCCCTGATCCCGTCACGGTAGGCCTTCTCGATGGCGCGGCGCATGCTCCAGTCGGGGCCCATCATGGTGAGCGCGCACACGATCTTGGTATAGAGCACGCCTAGCGCCCAGTCCTGCCATATGAACAGGACGGGCGACTGCTCTAGCGGCACGCGAAGTGGGATTACAAGTACCTGTATATATGTAATTAGAATCGTTAACGTCCTTTTAAGCATTCTAACAGCGTAACTGAACATTTTTGTCAAAGAAATATGCGTCGGAAAACGACAAGAGTTTTGAGCCTCTTGTAACTGAAACGGCGCGATCAGCTTTTAATTTAGTATGGGAGGCTAAAAACTTTTTATCGTTTTTGAATTTTTGATTCTCAAATTTTTTATGTATATATATCGCCATTATGCCAATTATTTGATGTCTGTGTAATATGATTTTATTCATATTGCACAAAATTTTGGCTTTTAGTTTTTCGATCGACCGCCTGCCTGATGTTAATCCTCCTTTTGCTAATTTAATTTCTATCCTAATATGACAATATATTATTTCTCAAACATGCTTGGAAATATGAGCATTACTTTGACAATATTCTTAGAGATAAATCAAAATTGCCGTACTGGCCAGATACATGCGGGCAGCGGCCGGCAAAAGTTGTATGAAAATCCATATCTGTCGTGTTTTGTGGCCAGATAAATTACTATGTAAACTAATATCTGTCCTATAATTTAAAAATGGAATGACCTTTTACTTCGAAACATGGCTCCCAAGGAGGTAACTGATAAAAGTTTTTATTCAAATTTCGAACTGGCAAATAAAAAGCTATTTATTGAAAAAAAAAAAAACAAAGGAACATTATGACGCGTGAAAAATTATTATTGTTCGTTATTCGTCATTGAACTTAAAAAATAAAATTGTTTTTGATTTCCGCGCATTGTTTGAGAAAAGTACTATACAAGCCTTGGCCACAACTAGGCATTGATGGACTCACGTATGTGTGCCTCATCTATGCCTAAGCCCACATTTGCACGTTCGTCTATCAATGCCACAGTTGCTGGCCGCTGCAGTAATGTACTATAGATACATAATATAGATTATTAATTTTATGCTATATACAGCCAACTATGTCGATTTCACCTTTTATACATAGATTAGATAAGTTTCCATTATTCGGTATCACCATCTAGAAGGATAAATAGACTTACCAGTTCTAACAGCAGGCCAAACATGAGCGGCACGAGGCCCAGCAAGGCAAGCGCAGCGAGCGCGGCGCGCGCGGCCCGGCGCGCCCACAGGGCGGCGCGGGACGCCAGCGCAGCCCGGCCGCCGCGCGCCCAGCCCGCCGCCAGCCCGCCGCCGCGGCCCAGCGCCCAGCATGCGTACATGCCTGTGCACCATGTACTGTCATAATCTGTTCTCTCTATTGGATGATAATGGTGTTAGCACAGGGAAAATTAAATTAAATAGAAAAAAAAAATTGCTGCAGACTTGAAACTTGGTATAGACTTTGTAAAAAAAAAAGTTCACACGGCAAACAAGCTGACGACCCACTTGATGGAAAGTGGTAACGGTTGCCTAAAGACATGAGTAGTATCATGGACATAACAAAGTATAATATTTCGCCCATGATACTCCCCATGCTTTGCCATGACTCAGATTCTCTGTAACCTATAAATTCACTGCCATATCCCACCCGTCAAAACGAAACACAGCCATGCAAGCACAACTGTTTCAAGGTTAAAAGACGAATGGGACTGAGGTAGCCAAACAAAAAATTTTTGTACAAAATCTCCCTCTAGTACATCACCTCAGTTAAAGGGGTCAAAAAAGTATTTTCAAGGGTATAAAAATAAAAATAGTTTTCCACAAACTATTCAAAAACTACTAACCAAATTAAAAAAAAAATGTTTAAAGAAGAGATTGTATAAGTAATTCTGCACATTTTAATAATTCTTTCTACATTCTAGGTGAAAAATTAACCGAGATATATAGTTTCAAGATAGGATATTTTTATGGTTTTTAAAAGTGCATCGGCGTCAGTCAACTTTATTTATTACCATAACTTTTTCATTTTTTTTTTAATTAATTCTGAAAAATCAAATAATGGCATTCCAAAATTCTATAATAGATACTCCATATTAAAAATATAATTGAAAAAAAAATTAAATATATATAATATTATTTTTTATAAAATCTCCCACGAAATGCTTGATCGAGGGGATTTTGAGATCGCGATCGAGATCCGCGTTGCGCACGAACTACGGTGGCTCGACGCAAGAATTTGTTCTGTTATCTTAAAGGGATACAGATAAGAGGGTGGGGCATAGGCAAAAATAACGATAGCGTACGTCATAATGGGGTAGCTGACGTTTTACTGCGTTTGTTGGTGAAGGGATGGAGGCGACCCATGATATATCGATCTTTCGATTAACACTATTAGCAAATTTATATCACTTCAATAGATAAAGTTATAAAGGTTTTAAAAGCTAGATCAGAAAAAAGCATGAAAACACAGATAAGCATAGATATTTTCACATTCATAACTTAGTCAGTTTTTTAACTAGGATATTGAAAAATATATCAAAACGTACAGAATTACTTCAACTACAACTTCTAGATTCAATATTTTTCAATTCATTGCATAGTTTTAAAATAATTTGTCAAAAAACGGATTTTTTTTTATTTTTAAACACCTGAATTCGGCTCTTAGACCCTTCGGTAAGAGGTGAACTACTTTTTACAAAGTCATTTTAACTCAATAAACAATAATCCCAAATTTCAGGCTTGCAGCACTTTTTCTATTTTTACATTATAACGATATTAGTTTAATTTGGGTAAATGGTAATCCCTCTTGTACTATCGTAAGCAATGAAAGATGTTAGATGAAGATGAAATTTGCTTTATATATATGATGCAATTATAGACGCCCTATTTATACCAATTACTAGCTTAATGCCCACTAATTCATATGCATAATTAAAAAAAAAAAATTAATAGACCACTACCAGCTGGCGTATCAAGATGATATATATAGGTACCATATTTAAGTTAGACCATCAGGAACACAAGTGTGAAATCCAATTTGGTGCAGTAGTTCCTGCGTGATGCAAGAACAAGCATACACATAGACAGATAGACACACAAAATTTAAAAATAATAGTTTTGGCATCTATTAGTTATTAAGAATCCTTATATAATTTTTTCCTTATATATCTCCCATATACAGACATAGACTAGTTACAATTTTATTATATGTATTAGTAAGATAATAAGATTTTGTCATAATTATAACTTTATATACACTTAAACCAAACATTGACAAAACACAGAAAAAAAACTAAGTACTTACGTTAAATACTTAAGAAAATAATTATTTTATGTAAATATAAAATAATAAAAAAAAAAAAAACATTGAATATAACTTACCACAAGCAGCAGTGTACAATTCATGTACACCTTCTGATGCCTTAGGCAGCCATAAAGCCATAACTTTTCTACCAATTGCAACAGGTATTACCTGAAATAGGAGCATAAAATTACTGAAATCATCATTGCGAGTTCAAATCTGGTTGACACCAAAAATATTATCACTTTAAATTTCTGACCATCTCTCGAATTTTTAATTCATTACATATTAATAATTACAGAAATATGATTTCTATAAAAAATATAATTTTCTATTCTAATGTGCTAGAAAAATATTAGCATATCGAACTTTACATTCACTAAATGGCAGCACTCGACGAATACCTCTAATTAGACTGCTATTAACTAAGGATAGGATAGGAACGACTATAAAGTCGTGAACATATATTTTTTAAACAGTTTTTTTTTTGTTTTATGACTTGGTTGTAGAACCTTTGAACTTTAACCTTTAAAATCATATTTTCACATTTAACAAGTTTAAACAGATCATACGTACGAGCGTCATAGCACTGGCCAGTACAAGGGAGGCGGCGACAAGCGCGAGCAGCGCCGCGAGCCGCAGCGGGAACCACGCTGCGCGGACGTATGGCTCGTAGCCGGCCGGGCCGTCGCGGCGCATCAGCGCCTGTGAACAACACATATATATCGTACTCACATCTTTCCAAAACAAGCCGTTCGATACCATATTAGTAGAAACTTGTACTTCCAGGAACATATTAATAGTTATATTGAAATTTATATAGTTAGACAATAATAATAGAACACTTTTCCCCGAAAATAAGTTGATGGTCCATCTGATCAAAAATAGTAAGTGTCGCCTATAAACATAAACGATACCTTGGACATCACAGAATGTACTGTGACATCTATAGCATTTATTTATTATTACAGGAACCTTTATTCTAGGGTGTATTAATTTTGATAGATGACAATTTTGTATGCAGCATGCCCAAAAGAATTGCTGCTGTGATAAGAGCAAGAGATGGACCAACTAGATTTTAATTTTGTTTTATTGTTCTTAAGCAAATAAAGTAATTTAAAAAGTAAAAGTGTTTTTTTTTTTTCCTTTATGTAAGAAATATTGAATAAATTATGGGGTGCCTAATACTTTTGGCTAAGGCTGTATAATTTTTAATATAGTTATAGTACTAATATTTTATTATCGATCACATTGATAACTGCTAGGATAAAATAACAGATGTACGAATTTTTAATATAAATGTAACTTCCAAAAACAAAAGTAAATTTGTGATGAGTTGAAAACTGTGTAAGGCGGGTGGTATGGTCAGGTACCTGGTGCGCGGCGCCGAGCTGCAGCGGCGGCGGGTGCGGTGGATGCGGCGGGTGCGGCTGGTGCGGCGCGTGGTGTGGGTGATCGCGCAGCTCGCCCAGCAGGTACGAGCGCAGCCCCAGCACGCCCGCCGCGCACACGCACCACGCGCGCAGCGCCGCCTTCAGCCACGTCCGCGTGTGCGACTGCTCTAACAACGCCGGCAGGATCACCTGCGCCACAGATAATATACCATTGGACATTACACAGCGCCATCTAGTCCCAACCTAAACAGACCTTGTACTATGGGCACTAGATGACAATGGATAGAACAATTAAAATATTTTTTTTTTGCTTATTATATATGGAACACCAAGACACTTAAATATATATAAAATTATAAATAAACTCCCTTTAGAATCTCACCAGGTTTCCATATAAAATGTACACCTGTGTCTTTATTGACATTGGTACCTTTATTATATTACTAGATGTTGAAAATCAATTTTGCTCAATTCCCAAACCTGTCATTTAATTAATTTTTGGAAAATGGGGGATTAGATCCCTAACACTAAATTTGTTCTTATTCAAAACTATAACAATTATAATATTAATATTTCCTATATTATTTAGAAACTGAATAGAAATATAACAAGAGCTCAAAATGTTACCTGTAACAGAAGTAATTCTAAGCTCAACTCATTGACAGGTGCTTCAGTGTGGACAGCGACGGCGTACGGCAGGAAACCAGGAAGCACATACTTAATTACTCTGATTGGCAGCCATAGCATGAACAAAACAGCAGTGCCAAAAATCATAGCAGAGACTACAAGGCGGCGAATATGCGACCAGACGGATAAGTGTATCATTTCCTGTAAATAAAAAAAAAAATAACTTAAAAAATGCTAAAGAAAAAGGGTACCCACAAATTCTTAAGAATGTTTTAGCTTACTGAAGTATGGCAGCATCACAATTATCCCTAGCAAAGTGCTTACAAAATAATCAGATATTGAATATTGTTAAATTATTTTTAAAAGACAGCAGGTAATTGCATTCTTAAAACAGACAACATATGACACATTTTACATACATGTATGTAAAGTAGGGGTTTGTATAATACATACATATATGTACATATATGTATGTATTATACATTATACATACATTATACATACATATATATACATATACAGCAATATTTATATATTGTAGTTAAAATTCCCATATATTGGGTCAATAACAAATATATTAATGTCAGTTAACTAATATATATTATCAAAATGTGATATAAGTGTGTGGATGAAAGTGAGGCTAGATATCAGAGTGATATGGACAATATTGAAATGGGTGATGTCCATTTTTTCCACTGTCAGTGTCTAGTCTAGAGGAATCCAATATATAGTAATCAGAACTGTATTGATATTACCAGTGTATAACATAAAGTATCTTTTTTAAACTATCAGTAATGATAAATAAGCTGTCAACTTCATGGAAAACAGTAACTATCACCTACAGATATTAATTATCACAGTATGTCAATTTTAATTAATGTTCAACAGTATGGAACCATTTACTCAGATAGATCCTTAATATTTTAGTAGTAAAGTTATAAATCGAAATCTTTTAATAAATAATATTAATTTAATTATTATTCATATTTTCACATGAATATAAAATGGATGGATGTACAAAAAAGTAGCTTATCTTGCAAATAAGCTATATTTATATCCCTAGCAGACAGATATACATAATAAAAAAAACAAACCTGCACAGGACTGAAGTCGGGGTCATTTAAATTCTTCAAGAACCATAATACTCCTGGCCTCAGAACCTCTCTCAGTAGAAGAATAAATGATGCAAAGTAATAAACATAGACCATTCCAACTAGCCAGTGAATGAACATGAGAGTCCAAGGTGCAGCCTGGAGGCTCGCCTCACGGTCTTTGAGTGTAGCATCAAACATCGAAAGGGAGCATAGGTCCAGCCACCAACCACATACCAGTGGGATTACTCCAATCTAAAATATAAATAAAATGTATAGCGATGTTTGTAGACAAATATTAAAGCCCTTTCTAATATTGCTATTTTTTTAATCCCAAAAAGCATTATAAACAAAGAAGATGAACTTATTATCTGTTATAAAAAGAAAGGATTTTCTAAGATAAACCTGATGGGGGGAAAGGGATTGTTAGTGATAGAGACTGAGAATCCCATTGCTAGCAATATACCCAACCAGGTCGACCTTCTCGTGGTTCCCCCTGGAAACTATCATGGTTAATTCCTGATGAATTCATCATGATGGGCTAACTGGCCTGTTTTCATTCTCATCTATCACCCTTCACTGGTGCTCTGCCAGCATATCCTGTTAGCGCAGGCGGGGTTACCATTCCATTTTCACCCATCAAAAAAAGATAAACCTGTTAATCAGGTTTGTCTTTTTATAGAAAGTCCTTTCTTTTTAAATATTATTAAAAATATCTCTCTTTATCTATGTATCTCTTCTGGAAAAGTGCATGATTGACAAGTGATAATTTAATTATAATTTTTTCCCTACATTCTTACAAAAATTTTCCTAAATAAAACCTGTTTTATAAATGGGAGTAATGAATCACTAGGCCACAATAAATGTAATCATTTATATTAAATATGGATAATTTAAAATGAGAACACATAATTAAAGTATTCATAAAACTTCAATGATCATTTAAAGAATGTTAATAGCACAAGTTACTAAAGTAGAATTCTTCATTAGGTCAATCGATATCTATAGAATTATCAAAATGTTATGAAATTAAATCATAACATGATTTTATTAAGGTTAATTAGTAACAACATCAAATGATACTTTTAAATTATTAGTTGGCATTAAACAGACATTGCTTTCTTAATATCCACAATATATATTTTGTAAAATTTGTTTCTATTGAGTGTTCATTAATATTTTCATTCATACCAGACCAGTATGGTGACAGAATAATCTGGTTATCATGGTAATTTATTAGTGGTTCTAATTTGTCAGTTCATTCAAGTTTAATCTAACAATTATTTACCAGAGGGAGACTTTGTACAAAAGTCGATTGCTTGGGTACCTCTGTCCCATTCGTGTTTCAATCATGAAGCAGTTGTGTTTGCACGGCTGTGTTTCGGTTTGAAGGGTAGGATATGGCGTGAATTTACTGGGTACAGAGGAATAACATCTGAGTCCTCAGGAATGGCAACGCATGGGGGGTATCATGGGCGAAACAGTTTACTCTGTTATGTCCATGGTACTGCTTATGTCTAAAGGCGACAGTTACCACTCTGCATCAGGTGGGTTGTCAGCTTGTTTGCCATTCTAAGTTGTATAAAAAAAAAAAATTACAATAATAAAGCTCATTTCCTTTCCAAAAGTAGTTAGTAGTAGTTTTTTTTGTAGTATTATGTACCTGTATTACATATATTTCTTTTTGTGAATATAAGCCTACCCCATTTTTTTTGTTATGAATATTATTGATTTATTTATACTTTTGCACACATAAAAATATGTCTACAGGGAGGATTAATTACTTAATTATTTACAACTCAACCATTACACTAAACAGAGAGAGTAAATGATGGTGCATTGATATAACAAAAACAATTTGAAGAAAAATTTGAATTAGCCTTTAAAAAATTTTTTCAATGCAATCTAGCCTATCTCTAGTAATGCAATTACCAAGTAACAACATTTAAATTTTATTATTTATATAGATAAAATTTTAAGGAACTTACCTCCACAACAGAGAGCAGGGCCACTTTCACTACAACATAACAAAATCCCAGTGCTTTTTTTGCACTCCTAAGACGTAATAATGAAGCAACTCCATGAAAGACTGCTAGAATAGCTCCTACCAACACATAACCAGCTAGTGCAGTCAATGGGCCAGCAAAAGGACCCTCAGCTGTCAATCCAGCTAATGCCGCACCCAACCTTCCAATGTGGTAAGGACAAAATGCAAACACCACTATGAAGAGTGTATTCAGTGACACTACCCAGAAAACATGTTCTAAAAATACCATAGACCCATCTAAACCCAAAAGTCGAGCCCATGTTAATTCTTCAGCCGCAGCACGATCCCATTCCATAGGATTCCAATTCGCTTCATCACCAACTAATGGATCTTCTACACCTTCTCCATTCTCATCTCTAGCAATATCCTCTCCGGCTGCATCATTCGCACGTTCATTATTGTTATTAGGTAAGGGTGCATCTTCAGGTGGAGCCACTGGTAAATTCTCTCTTTCCATCCAATCTGGTCCTCCTCCGTGCATAATTTGCTCCCTTAGCCAGACAAGACCAATAAATGAGAACAAAGTGCATGTCACAACAAAGCAACCAGAGAAAACATCTTTAGCAAGGTTTTCTGCTGACACAATGTCGAATGGCAAAGATATCACTGGGTCCAGGGAACCCGAGAATAGACATCTATAGGTCCTACAAGCTGTCAGAGGAACAATACCTAGCCAAGCGATGGCAACAAGAGTATAATGCAGCCAATCTTTAACTGCTGAAGCCACAGAAGTCACGAGACCGCCAACCACGTCCCGAATAGGCAGTCTACGCGGCATATCGGGAGAATAAATGGGCATAAAAGAAAAGCGATGACCGCACAATTCGCAGATTTCTTTACGTGAGTATCGCATCCATTGTACTAGACACTCTTGATGTATCCATTTTATTGAGCCCGTGCAGATACACGGATGGAATAAAGGTCGATCAGACGAAGCTTCCGAACGGCAGAATCTGCAGAAGTCTGCGCCGGAAGAATCCGAGTCCATCATTATGTATGGTTCAATCCAGTTTCTCTGCTTGTTAAACAATCTGCAATAAATAGACACCATTAAGAAATGTATTTTGAAAGATTTCAAGTAGTTATTTGTAAACATAAAAACAATATAAATACCTCAACCAAGAAATTAACAAATAACAAATAAATACAAAAGATTCTAGACAATAAATTGATGATAAAAGTCTATTTTGTTTGCGAACGACATGTAAAGTGTGACCAGCCACAGCTACTAAATCACAGTGTTGTTAGCAGAAAAAAATGTCGATCTCGATTCTGTGGTACTATTTTTTTAAACTATCTCTACAATTTTAATTTAATACCTCTAAAGAAATTTTATTTTAAAGCCCAGTTTAAATTGTTCATATTAATTTTTAACAAAGAGCATATAACCAAGTTCTTTAAAATAAAGATTTAGCTCTGATAATACATTGAAATTTAAATCATAAAGAAGTGTAGAGAATAATGCAACAGTCATGTATTAAATACCTTTTTGATTTTTTTTTTTATAGAAAATTGTTTATTTGAATAAAAATCTAAAAGATAATTAATAAACGATTTTTAAAAAATTACAAAACATGGTTATGTAACCAGAATAGTCAAAGAGTATGTAATTAGGGTAGACGATTGCTTTATAACGTAGCGATCACTTATTTGTATCCAATAATGAATTGATTCATCTATTTATTTGTATTAATTAGTTTAAAGTTTAGAATTTATAAATAATAGACTATGGGTAAGATAAACGTTTTTGCAGTTTTTGTTGGCAAGATAATGTCAATTATCACTCCATCATGCGTGCGTCAGTCATGTCTTATCACAATTATTATCAAAAAAAATCTGTAATCAAACTTTTTTTTTTATTAACCTAGAAAATAAGTATCAACTTATAAAAGAATTTCTACTAGAAAAATACTTATCTATAATTACTTTGAATAATATTTATATGTTATAAGGTTTTATTAATCGTAATTCTAAGTCAAGAATATAATTTCAGAGTGAGTGACAATCCAAGTATATAACACAATATAATAAAGTTATGATTTTTTAATCTTAAATTTATTAGTTTTACTGGTGTTTAATCAATTATTCGTACGTGGCTCCGTTATGAAAGTTTTGAACTTTACTAATTTTGTTTTATGTTTATGTTTTAGTATTTCTTTGCTTATAATATAATTGTCACCTTTTGTTTTTACTTTTTACTATATTTAAACAACAAATAAAAAAAATTGTACTTTCATTTTAATAATTACAGATGATGCAACAAGAAGAAAATTAACAATTTAAAACTATGTGATGTAATTATCACAAATATCACAAATTAATTGACAAACAATATGAGTTCACAAAAGGAGACTATAATAAAAATTGATGTACCAGGCACTGGAAGGAACAGTTCAAAAACTGAGATAAATATATTGTGTTTAGATATAACTCCATACAGTCAACTGACACAGTTCCTATGTTGTTCCGCCTTTGTTTTTATATGTTATCTAGCTTATGGATATTTTCTAGAATTAATATTTTCAGTACCTGAAGTAAAACCTGTGAGTTTATACATAACACTAATACAATTTCTTATAACAATGCTATTGAGTTACATTGAGTCTCTAATAAGGAATCCAATTAAGAGGAAGTAAGTATATATATATATTTTTTTTTAATAGTTTCTTTTTTTCTAAATTCTTTTTGTTAATGAGTCTTGGCACATCTTTCTTGGAAAGAGTTTTTATTAATGATACATTTAGCATAAAAAATAGTGCACAAATATGGAAGTATTAATTTTATTTGAATATTCTGAATTAAAGTTTTGATTATAAATAAAAAATCAATTATAAATAAAAATAAATATAATTTGAAGACTGAATATACTTTCATTTAGTGTTTCATATTTAGTTGTTATTCGGTTTATGGTCCCCAATTGGCAGCTGGTTTTCAGACCTTTTATGGTATTAGTACCTTAGGCCTACAGGTTTGCCTATTTAAATAATATAATATGTGTTTTATGTGTTAAGAATATATGTATGTATCAAATTTTATTCAAATTATTTGTTATGTGATTTAATAACAAATATCTTTATAAATTTCAGTATCCAAGCTTTTCAAAAATTGAGTTTAGTAGTTTGACAGTTACATATACATGCCTTTATTAAGGGTTTATACCCTCCTCCTCTCTGGAAAATAATCTTAAATATGCCCACATCCTTATTCATCCCAAATACTATGGGAATATTAAATTTATTGTTAATCGGTTCACAATCATATAATAATTAAAAATAATTTATTTTCAGGGTGCCATTAAAAACTTATGCAATTTTGGCAGCACTTACATTAGGCACAATGTCATTTTCTAATTTGGCACTAAGTTACCTGAACTACCCTACTCAGCTTATATTCAAGAGCTGTAAATTAATACCAGTGATGATTGGAAGTATTATCATATTAGGCAAGAGATATGGATTTTTGGATTATGTTGCTGCTATTATAATGTGTGTGGGGTTGACAATGTTTACATTAGGTAAGGCTTTTTTTGTTACTGTTCATGTTTAGTTTTAGTATACATATAATATTTGGGATGGAGAAGAACATAGGCTACTTTTTATAGTACTTAATAAATTTTAATAAACAATAAATTTCTCCATCTCAAACAATGTGTATACTAAAATTAAACATAACAATTAGTTGACCTGTTAGGACACGAGGAGGTACCAAACAAATAAACAATTCACTTTCACATTTATAATATCAAAAAATATATAATATAATAAGAATACTGTTGGTTAGCCAATTTCCATTTCAGAACATATGGAGCCCATATATTCTGTCATAAAAAATCACTCTCAACCACTATCACCTTACCATTAAGATGGCCAGAATGAGACTGTAGAAATGCCAGGTTGCACAAAAAACTGCTTCTATTGATTTAATACAGCAAATACTAAGGTTCTTGTTTCATTTAGTGAAGGATCCCTCTATATTCTGTTTGCCTACATGGTGATATTGAGAAAAAAATATTCCAATTATTTGCTGATTCCTTTAACTATATGGCATATTATTTTACTTTTAGATGTTTATAATCCCCAAAGTTCTATTTACCAATAAATTGTATGACACAGTTTTGTCAAAACATAGTTGTACAGGTGTAATAGACATTGTGTGAGATTAATTTGACTAGAAATAGTGAACAAATTGTATACTAATTAATAAAATTGAAGGAATATCTTTAGGAATATCATATCATGGGAAAATCTTTGTTCAAACAACTGATGTGGCAGATTTATTATACTCGCTACTCTTATTTTGGTACAATCAGTTTCCCACAAGAATAAAAAACTTGAAAAGTTACTCCACAGAATAGCTGGAGATGTAGTACAAATTCATACTTATTTTTATTACATAAAATTCTTAATATTTTAATCTATTTTCTTTATTTGCAGCTGACTCGAAAACCTCACCAAACTTCGATGTCATAGGCGTTATAGTGATATCTCTTGCTTTATTATGTGACGCTATAATAGGCAATGTGCAAGAAAAAGCAATGAAGCAATTCCAAGCATCAAATAACGAAGTGGTGTTTTATTCATATGCAATTGCTTGTGTATATTTGGTAGCAATAACTAGTGTTACTGGGATATTTGTGGATGGTTTTGTCTACTGCTCACAGGTATTATTTTTTATGCGACTTAGAATAGCTAACAAGTCAACGGCTCACCAGATGGAAAGTGGTAACAATTGCTTATTTACATGAACAGTACCACCCATGATAGCTTTCATGCATTGCCATACCTAAGAATTAAGGTGTTATGGCTCTGTACCCTGTAATTTTATTGCCAAATCCTACCCTTCAAATCAGGGCAAGATTTTTAGTAATGGAGATTAACAATTGCATTGCTAGCAATATATATACCCTATTAGGTTGATCTCCATGCGGTTACCCCTGAAAATCATCATGATTGATTTATTGTTGAATTTGTCAAAATGGGTGAACTGACCTTCTTCATTATCATCTTTCACTGTTGCACTGCTAGTGTATACCAATAGCGCAGGCGGGGTAATCATTCCATTTACTTTAAAGAGTTTTTAATGGATGATCCATTAAAAATCCCTTCAAACCGAAATACAGCCATGCAAACAACTGCTTCACGGCAAAAACGAATGGTTAATTTAAAGTTAAGAAAATAACTAAGGCAGATGACTTTTGTACAAATTCTCCCTCTGGTTTATTTTTATATAAATATTTTTTCTGAAATTATACGTCACTTGGTTACTTCATTGTACATATAGAGCAATGGCTATTACAGTCATCTTGACTCCATTCTGAAACTTAGTTTAAGTAAAGATTAGTTTAAGTGATGCAACTCTAAGGCTGGGGTTGTGGGGATTATTAGTAATGGGGACTGGCAGCCTAATCCTAATAATAACATGTCAGAAGGACCTCCACATAATTTCTGGTAAATTTGTCACGACAGGCCAACAATAGGATTTCTTTCTCATCTGTCATCCCCAACTGGTACTCCGCCAGCGTAAACCAATAGCGCAGGCGTGCTTATCATTGCATTTTCATCCGTTAAAAAACTTTTGACATTTAAACTTTTGCAGACTCCAATCACGACCTATACGAACATATTCCTGCTCAGTGTGAGCGGTTATATGGGTCTACAGGCGGTTCTAACACTCGTGCGTATATGTGGCGCCACCGTCGCCGTCACTGTTACCACTATGAGGAAAGCTCTCTCCATTGTGATATCGTTCTTGCTGTTCAGCAAGCCTTTTGTTTTCCAGTGAGTATACTTGGATTTGTGTTATAGTTTCGAAATCATTTAAACTCTATTAGTAATCCGAAAGATGGAAATATAAATAATCATATATTTTACTATTTCAATATATCGTTTACAAAACTACACGTTTTGTAGAAGAAGAAACTAAACAGATTTTTTCAACTGTATGTATGTCCAGTTCTTTGGTGCTGTGTAGCATAAATGACTTGTTGGCTTCTAAAAAAAGGGAGTGCTATGCTCCATAACGACTTCGATCTAAAACTGATTCTATAATAATCTATTATCATGTTTTGGTTATTACAAATTGATTCTATAGGCACGAAGTCATAGTGCATAGGTAATAGCTTATAATTATATATATTACTACCTTTTACTCGCGACTTCGTCTATGTGACTGAGAAGTTAGTCTATATAAAGATAGAGAAGGCTCTATCCTATATACATAGTACGTATATATCAAATTTTATAGCGATTGGTTAAGCCTTTAAGGTACTGTAAAGGAATAAACAAACAATCTTTATTATATTATTAAGATTTTTTTTTATTCTACAGAAAGTAATCTATATTTATAATAAATCTTTTTTTTTTATACAACTTAGAATGACAAACAAGCTGATGGCCCACCTGATGGAAAGTGGTAACCGTCGCCTATAGACATGAGCAGTATCTGTAGAGAGGTCAATTCTGTACATGAAATATATTTCTAAAAAATAACTATCAGGGGGTGATTAGTGATCGATACTGATGCCAAAAATGCAATCAGTAAAATTTTTGTCTGTCTGTATGCTCGTTATAGAAACAAAAACTACTCGACGGATTTTAACGAAATCAATCTTGGTACAATTATTCTTCATACTCCTGGGCAGATTATAGTATACTTTTCATCACGCTACGATCAATAGGAGCAGAGCAGTGAAGGGAAATGTTGGGAAAACAGGAGAAGTTACTCCATATTTAAACTACAGTCGCGTGGCCACTTTTTAAAATGTAAAAATGTCCACCCGTGTGACGCCGGGATGGGCCGCTAATAGGTAATAAATTCGTAATTATATTTTTTTATACCACAGGTATGCATGGTCTGGTATGCTGGTCGCGTTGGCGATATATTTAAATCATTACAGTAAGAAACATCCTCATTACATTCCAATGCCGATAGCCAGGTGCTGGCATTACTTACAGTCTTTCTATCAATCAGAATATAGATATTTGACAATAAAAAGTAAAATATATTCGGATACTGTATAGAAAAAAAAGGTTATTATTATATAATTGTAAAATTAATAAATGGTTACTCCTTCCTCTAGATGAGGTACTAACGAATTTATCGATAGAATCGTATCGTTCAGCGCTTACCTTTTTTTATTTTATTATACCACTGAGATGGCAAAGATGCATACGACCCACCTGATGGTAAACAGATGTCGTTGCCTATGAACGTCTGCAATACCAGGGGCATCATGCGCGCTCGTTGCCGTTCCTGAAGAGACATCTTTACTTCTTTTTTGAAGAACCCTGTGTAGTCTCTTGGGAAAACCTCGAAAAGCTGAAATAGAACAAGACAGCGCACATCTCCATCTCAGTCTATGTCATGGACTGGCTAGCGTCAACGATTCTATCAGTAGATTCATTTATACATTATCTAGATTAGCTAATAGGACAATTTTCTACTGTAAACGTCGTGGTGAACGTATACACGTGACTTGCCAATATTGAGAAACGCAATTTTGTATATTGTTAAAGAAAATGAGATTAATGGAATACTTGTAATATTATAATTATATTTTATACATTAGATGAAATCAAATGACTATTTTAAAATAGCAAGTAAGTTTGTGATCCGAGCACTTATCTGCAGGCTGATTTTTGACCTAATTGAATTAAGATTAAATCGAAATCATATTGAATAGTGTAATGGTATACGCTCTTAATAGGTGATAATAAAATGGTAACCCCGCCCGCGCTATTGGTTTACGCTGACGAGGCACCAGTGAGTGATGATAGCGTGGAGGTCGACCTGATACGATGCTAGCAATGGGGCAGTTAGACCCCATTACTAATAATCCCTTTCCCCTGTCAAATTGTATAGTGATGACATCCTTTCGATGTCTGTTGTTATGTTTATTTATATAGTAGTGAAATTACAGGGTACGAAAGCATGACATTATAGTCCTTAGGAATGACATCGCATGGGGTGTACCATGGACGTTACAATGCATTCCATGGCGCTATTCATATAGGATATTTATCAGTAGGTTTATTTACTATTTTTACATGTAGGTATAAAAAAAATATGTTTATATGTTAATATTTCGATTTACGCATTAAAAATCGGTCTGATGTATATAGGTCACTTGTTTGAATCTTATACTATTTTATTCTCTTAGTTCATTATATTTATAGGTTGGTATATTGCTAATAAAATAACTTCATTTCCAAACAAGACTGTGATCTGGGAATATTTTTGTTTTATAATCTGTATCTTTTTTTTTCTTTTGCTGTAAAATTTACTCACAAAACAGTATTATAATAATACTTTTCGAAATCAGTAATGTCGAAAACACAAAAACTATTTTATATTTCTTAACTCAAATTCGAACTTAACTGGCGTATTGCAATTTACATTTTGTATTCTGTATACAAGTAAAGTCGATGACAACACTATTTCTTTAAGTCTATGGTAACTGTGCTGCCATTCTTTCTTTCAAAATTATGTTATCCTATAAAGAATGACATATGATTATATACAAATATAATAAGAAAATGTAAAATATTTAATAGGGTATTTTTTATTTTATATATTCATAATTTGTTACGACAATCAACTCTCAAATGGTAATACACAAATTTAAAGGAATCAGTATGACTATAATTTCGATGATACACTTATATCAGGCTCAAACGACGTTCAGAAACTGAAAGATTATTCAATTGTTAGTACTTTTATAGTGTAATATGAAACATATTTAGTTCAATCTTAGCTGTATTAGGCGAATAGGTTCAATTCTTATCGGATGTTTATAAAATAAAAACTACCGAATTCATATAAGGTAATTATTTTAAATTATTTTCAAATAGTCAATGTTTAATGTATTTTATTGTTAATTTATTATAATTAATTTTAATCATTGACTCTTAAAAGCAATTTATTTTTATTGTAATTATTATCAATGATAAAAAAATAGTAACTATATTTATATTGTATTTTTTTAAATTAAATTATACATATAATGTATATGTTATTTAATAACTGTATTCTTTTTATAAAAGTGTAAATAAAAATCGTTATTTATATCAATGACATTTATTTCATTGTATGTACAAAATCTTAGAAATCTAATTCATTTTTCAATACAAAAGTGTCCAAATTTAACTTGTTTGAATATTTGGAATGTTATTTAAGACACTATTTTCATTGGCTTTATATATATATATTATCTAGGACGAAAAACGAGTAAGTGATTAAAGCATAGTTTTAATACTTTTAGGCTTTAAAATAATTTCAATGTAGGCTTTAATGGGACCACAGATCTTGCACAAAAATATTTGCTACTAGCTAGGTACAAATCGTATCATTCACGTTCAAGTATTACCGGATTAATAATGGCAGCCTTCATTATGATATTAATAAAAAATTCATAGATTATTACTATTTAGCAATGAGTAGAAATATAAAAATCGAATATCAATTAGTATATTCCTGCTCGAGTGCGCGACGCCTGCGTCTAGCAATAGTCTCGAAATATTTTAGTGTAAGACCTGTAAACACTAATAATGACAGTATTATGTAGAAGTATACATGTAAAAGTACCTTTTTATTCATAAAAACACAAAACATCAGTTATACTAGTTTCTTAGAAACTGAATATTCATCTTGAAAGTAAAAGGCCAAACCAATAAATTTTTTTTTTTTTTTTTTTAGAAATTTGACGTTTTTATGAATAAGGGGTTTAGTGTCTTGGCAACAATATTATTATATCTGGTAGACAATTTCAAACGTATCTGGTAATAATTATAGACGAGTGTCAATGATCAGTCGATATTAGATTCCAACTATAATAACAATAGTGTTTATAATACAGTATAGCCATACGTATGTAAGGGGATATTGGTCAAATTAACATTATACAGGTCACAAGATCTAACTACGCTAGAAATTAAATATGCTCCGTCAACGTCCGCCGTCCACACTAATTTACAAATAACTCTTTGGTATACAGTCCTAAAGCTAGTTTTATTTGTCTTTTTACATGAGGGCAGCAGTCGGCCCCTTTGCAGTTAGTAATTTGAATATCTAAACTTTTAAATAATTATTGTAATTAGCAATTTTCTGAATTGGCTCAGGTCTAAGTATTCTGGTTTGTGTATATATTCGTTGCCTGGTTCCTCATAATATAGTGTGTCCTAGATTGAGGATCAGACGATTGGTATGAGCGTGTGGCATTTATTATTATTATTGTTTTAAAAATAACAAAAAATGATCATAACATAGCAGCAAATTACGAATAATCATCATATAAATTATATGTAAAATCATTTATACTTTTACAATTGATACCAGGAGATCAGAGTTGCAAAGGGGCCTAAATTTATTGAAAAACAAATGTATTGATTATGTGTGCAAAATAAAGTATAATGCGATAAAAATAGCCCATTAAATCCGTGTATGAAACTATAAGATTGCAGGTGGCAAGATTAAATACGGCGCACAGATATTGTAGTGAAAAATGAAGGAATGGACAAATCCGCTTGAATAATAAAATACATAATACCTTTATCCCGTAGGAAAAGCACTTGTTATTAATGGAAACTAGTTGTTATTTGTTAATTAAGAAGAATAACTTACTCCTCGCATACATTTTCCTCTGTAGGAGTGTCGTACACAGATTTCATGGACTACAGCAGAAAAATACTAAAGTTATCCAACCAGTCATGTGTATTTATACATATATATCTTTTATAATTGGGATTTATCATCATAATTACAGTGGAGCATAATCGGAGATCTTTTTATACAGTGGCCCATAAGTGATGAAAAAATATCACATTTCATTTTAGAATATGAAAATATCGTGTAAATTTTAAATTTTAAACCTTATTGCTTATGTTGTAGTGAACAATTTCTTTTGTACAAAATGCAAAATAATAATCTACTTGTGCTTAAGCTAAAGAGGCTAATAAATAAGAACATAGGTATATGTGAAAATTGCATAAGATTATAAATACTTAAAAGTACGCTTAGTGGAATTATGCGTCATCTGTTTCAACGTCACACTTAGATACTACAATTATTTCAACAATCTATAAATCAAATCAGAAGCTGACGACCAATAAATGACAAGCTCACGCGTTCCTGTATTGTTTTAGTAAGTAATGCTTCCAGTATAAAAAATACTAAACATGAAATGAAATTACAAGGCAGTGTGGAGTAGTCATTACAGTTTTGGCAGTGTATTTAGCATCAAAATCGACCAAACCCATATATATGTATATACAGAGTGTAGCAAATATTGCATTATAATTCGAATCTAGCGATAATATTACTATAAAACTGAACAACTTACTTAAAACTTCGTATAACTCCTTGATTATTTATTACTGCTTGATTAAGTATGAAAGTTTATACCACCTAGAAAATTATTCAGTTTCATCAATACCATTACGATATCCCTTACACTCTGTACATATATATGTATAATTCTGCCAAATGGTAACGCGATCCTGGCTGTTGAGAAATCGTCATCAGGCCATCAGACAATATGTGTCTAATGAAAAGAAAATTAATCTGAATTGAAATATTATTTTACATTATTCTCCCGATTTCCGATTATTAATAAAAATGTAATGAGTACTGTCCACACACGCGTCATAATTCCCGTATTAACTAGAGGAGCCATACATTGTCTTTCACCATTACAATTATAAAAACTATTTCACTATATCACAGCACTAGTCTTGCACTTCTCTGTATGGTATCTCACTGGTCACTGTGAACGATTCGAAATAGTGATTTAGGAATTCGAACGTTGGCCGCTTCTCCGGTATCGCGTCCCAACATTGCAGCATCAGTCTATAGATATCATCCGGTAGGTAGTGTCCAACCGGCTTTGGCATTCTATAACCTCTTTCTACTTGTTCTATAACATCTTTGCCGTGTAGACCTGGATAAGGAATCTGCCCATATGTGAATAGTTCCATAAGGAGAATACCGTACGACCATACGTCACTTTTAATAGAGAACCTTCCGTATATAATCGCTTCGGGGGCCGTCCACTTCACAGGGAACCGTGAGCCCTGCTTGGGACAGTATTCGTTGTCTTCAATCACTCTAGCAAGTCCAAAGTCACATATTTTTGCTACGTTATTTTCACCTATTAACACATTCCTAGCGGCTAAGTCTCTATGTATTAACAATTTCGATTCGAGGTACTCCATACCAGAAGCTACTTGAGCAGCGACGTATATGAGGTCTTCGAATTGAAGAAACTTTCCTTCCCCGTTTCGAAGGAACTCTAATAGTGAACCTTTGCTCATGTATTCTTGGACGATGTACACGGGTTCTTGTTGCGAACATACCGCGTAAAGTGCGACGAGCCGCTTGTGCCTAAACTTCTTCATGATTGCAGCTTCTTGGAGGAATGCCTGAGTAGACATAGTGCCTTCTCTGAGCGTTTTTACGGCGACCTGCAATAGAAAACCATTATCATTTAGATGACATTTATCGTAAATATGGTTTTTGTTCCATTAAATGTTTCAATTTCGATGGTGAGGGTACATTTATTAGAACAAAGAGTCTTATTCATGTATAATATCATTAGATTTTATCCATGAGTTAGTCTGTATGACAGGGATAAAAAGTAGTCTATGCCCTTCTCATATTATATGTACAGAATGTACTTGAATACAAAATTTCATAATAATTGGTGAAGCGTCAAAGAGTAACAAACAAAATAGCTAATTTAGACATTTATATTAGTAATAATTTATATGTAATTTAATATTTTATAAGGTAAATTACCTTTGAATTTATGAAACCTTACTTAAGTCACAGATAGTTTCAAATTACTTCCAAATAGGTTATTGAAAGTAATATGAACCTGAGTAATAGTGCTACTGGGAATTTTCAACATTAATTAAACTTACGATAAGCAAAAATAATATATTTGATATTTATTAAAGAATGATTAATGCACTTTTTTATTTATAAATAATGATTTATAAGTGCTGTATTGGTTCTACATGAAATATCATATTTTTTTCTTAGAAAAACAGGTTACTTTTTATGCAACTCAAAAATGGTAACCAAGCTGATGGCCTACCAATGGAAAGTGATAACCGTCACTTATAAACATGAACAGTACTATGCTATGGAACAGAATAGACTGTCGCCCATGATACCCTTTACGCGTTACTATTCCTGAAGACTAAGGTGATATGCTTCTGTACTTTGCATAGCATCAATTTTTATATATTTTTAAAAATTCTTCATATAATTATATTACACATTCAGTTAAATTGAAATAGCATTAGACTTTAAATATGTACTGAAATACACTGACCTCTATAGTGTTCCGCCATTTGCCATAATACACCTCCCCGAAGTTGCCTTGCCCTAGTTTCCTGATGAGTTGTATTTCACTCCGGGGGATCTCCCATTTATCGCGCAACTCTGGCCCCAAATCCCACATCTGAGGTTCGGGCTTCGGACACGGCCGCGCTAATACATGACAAAGTCCCAATGCGTTCTCTGGAATGTGAAAAATGTTATCTATATATACTAGGGATTGATATTGTAAAGAGGAAACATATGTTTGTAATGGAAAGATGGATTATCTCTAGTTTCTGACAAGTACACATCTATATCGCTTAACTGCACTAATTAATTGTTAAATTGCTGATTTTCGCTAACAAGATCTCTCTACGCATATAGAGTATATGATAATGGTAGTGCATCACAATAAACATTAAAATTACGAAACTCTAATGAGGATTTGGCTAAGAGGTGCAGGACTAAGTGTACAATCAAATATATGAATATACAGACAAGTAAATTAACGGAATTTATTTTGAAAAAGAACTTATATGACTTACTGTGCAACAATAAAATGTAGAACTGTTTTGCGTCAGATTTTTCGTATAGCACTGAGGGTAGATTAACAAAGTTATTACAAGTAATTTTCAACGTCAAGCATTACTAGTTATTCATCAAGTCACATACGGAACGTTCTGATTCACGTAAAATATGAATAGCTCGTTGCAGCAATTGTTTGACAGATTAAAGATAGGAATGGAAAAACAAACAGAACAAATTCATGCTTCTGTGACTAAAACATTAACTGAAACTTTGGAAGGTAAGTTAAAGCCTTTACAAGAGGAAAAATTATTATTAAAAATAAAAATATATCAAAAGGGGAAAAAAATTGGAAGAAATGGAAAATTAAAGTGCACAAAATCAATAATATATCTCTAAATAAAATACAATTATTGTTTGAACCTAGAAACAAACGTATACACTCAGCTAACAGATAATTATGCGTTCGTAATAAAAGAATAGAAAACTAAAACTTACTTGTATAAGACATGACTAGAGCCGGTAAACTTGGGAACGTCTGATTAGTTGCTATATAAAATCCTCCGTTGTCCAGAGGTTTGATTTTGTAGTGTTTCACATGGTAACCTCGACCTTCTTCCCAGTCTTTGACGCTCAAGCTGAAGCCGTGAGGATTGTGCTCTGCTGGTCTGACGAGGAACGTCCCCCGAGGATTGCTCTCGGCTAGTAGCAGCTTATCGGCCTCCTTTCTCGATACGTGCGGGAAGAACCAACTGCAATATGACGGTTGCCTTTAGCTAAAAATGTCGATTAGAATGTGAAGGGGGATGGAGCCGTCACTTTTGCCCTTTACTATCCACTATATTAATTCTCGATCCGATAGTTTGAATACACGATTGAAGTGTCTGTCATTGCGTATTTGTTATGAGGCATCGTAGTAGTTCTTAAAGGGGTGAAGGGGTTTGTTCTTATACTTTTCCTTTGACTCTAGGGAAGTAGGTGGGTATTCACTGGCAAACTTTGACATAATTTGATCTGATGCTATGAACAACAGTTTGCAGATTATTCAAACCGCAACATGCAATAGAAACACATAATTGAACTCAACATATTAATTTTAATGAGCTGTTGTTGGCATACAAGATGAGTACTGAAGTCCTAACAGCAGATGATCTGTGATCAACTTCATCTTCCATATTTATAATAATAACGAAGACTACGAGTTTAGCGTTATTAGATTAATTAGTGGTAAAAATTAATAGTGATGAGTAGTAAGGTAGATAACCAAATCTGACTAAAAAACAAATCGGCCGGCAGCACACCTGCAATGCCTTTAGTGTTGTGGGTGATCATGGGCGGCGGTAGTCACTTACCACCAGGTGAGCCGCATGCTAGTTTGCCCAATGTGTTGTAAAAAAAAAAACAAGAACCACAAACGGCGGTGTTATAATAAGTCTGAAGTCTTCTGTTTTTGTTTATTACATTGCGTTTCTAAACTAACTTAATAAAGACTAGAGAGAGTTCTTATCATTTTTAGAAAAAATATGTTCTTTGTATCGTCTGCATAGATAACCTAATTGAACAATATTTGTCAATAAATTTATCAGTAGCATTTTATTACACATTATGAAATTACTAAATATAGAACAGCAGTCTAGAAAAAAATATATATATAAAATGGGCAATGTGTAATAAATATTTACATGGTAGGTATTGAGTAATGAAATGAAGCTCTTTGAATTATCATAGGTATGCATATTAAATTTATGAACCGGAAGTGAACTATAAAAGCCCGAATCTTAATATACTTATACTTTGATTGTGTTCACTGATATGGAACAACGACTAAGTAACTACTACACTTAAGGCAAGGTGGCGTTCATAGAGAGAGACGCACCATTATTCATTATTATGCATTGTGCATGCATACATTAGAGTTTCAAATTTAATATACTCGTAGATGTGTTCACGCACGACTGTAATACCATATGGGATAGTCAGAGGCGTCTGTCGATATTTGGTAACTAAAATAATACTTTTTATTCCTTTTTGACGTTACTGGATGAAAGCATCGTCATCATTCTAAAATTAGTTTTATTGATGATGTATTAGTATAAATCTAACTATGGTGTTAGGTAGATTAAAATAATGATTATTTGGGTTTTTGTTTTATTATACCTTTTGTGTTTTGTTATAAAATGGTAACATATGAATATAACGAATTAGTTCATTATAGAGAGACATTACCAATAAAATTGTTTAGTCAATATTTAATAAAAATAATAATAATAAATATTTATTTCTATAAAACATGGTATACAAATCTGTTTTAATTTTATTTAAGAATGCACATGTCTTGCTAGTCATATTGCATGCAAATTCAGTTTTTTACTATCAACAATGGTTAGACATATAAAAGTTTTTGTTTTATATATCAAATACGTCGTTATTTTAGGCAGTAATAATATTTATATTAAATGAATGTATTTATAGGTTGCTGAATCATATCCGGTTCGAAGGACCACCAGATTTTACGGACTATTATGTTCTCAATGAGAATACTCACTCCTCACACTCGACAGAGCTCTCCTCCGCTACAAAGTTGACTGGAACTAGACCCTCCCTCCTCGTGGTGAGGTGCAGCACCCTCCACCAGTCCGGTTCGGCGTCACTGAGTACTTCCATCCGGTCGCCTTTCCGGAATGATATATCGGAGTCCGCACGGGCTGTGTATGCGCATAGCGCTTTGACGATGCGTCTTCCACCGTTTGTTATACCTAGCAAATAAAATATTAGCAATTTAAAAAATGTAACAAATTGAAACTGCATTAATTTATGGAATCCTTTATTAATTTGATTATTTTTTTAAATAGGTATGTTAATTTACTTTTCACCGTTAAAGTACATAAAAATCGTCTCCAAGAATACCTCTATCTGATTCGTATTATGCCGCTAAGCAGCTGTGCTTAGGTTTGAAAGATGGGATAATGGTTATTGTTAGTCCTCATATCCTAATGGCACATGGACGAAACAGTGTATTTTATGATATCCATGATACTGTTAATGACTTCAGATGACTGTTACCACTTTCCATCAGGTGGGCCGTCAGCTTCTTTGCCATTTGCAGTTACGAATATATATCATGAACATTTCCGATATTTTATTGTTAAAAGTTTCGTAAGTACACATTATATTTTAATGTAATAATTGCCGATTTAACTTACGTGTAATGTTGTCAAGAAAGCTCGACTAGTTTTGAGACCATTCGGGACCCTTAGTCTTGAGTGACTGTGATGCGAGCGCAAGCTTGACTGAAGAATGGTCTTAAAATTAGACGATCTTTCTTGACCAAATTACACGTAAGTTAAACTGGTGGTTATTACATTAAAATATTTCCAATATTGGTAAAATGGATCTATATTAAAAAAAAAGCTGAAACCGAACCGAATGGTGTCAAACTAAAATGTTTTATAACATCGATCATTGACGTTGCAAGCTGCGGGCTTGCCGGCCGCTCCATATGTTTGTATAAACAATGGCGTAATGACATATCAGTGCCGCCATTGTATCCGATATCCGAGCAGGAAATCTCAGTTTAGAACTGATACAATGCACCCCTTTGTGACTTGTGTCCGTAACTGTTATAAATTGCACTTTATGAGCATGCTTATTATCATTTATCACTAGATACTAAGTGGTATATAACTATTTTTATGTAGTGTGGAATGGACGGCCCACTTGATGAAAAGTAGTATTTGTCACCTATATCTACAGTGTCTTGGACGTCACATCGCTATATAGACTAATGGCCATTGTAAAAATACTCTTCTTTTAAAGTCGGTTAAAATGATTTTGTTTTCTATACCATATACACAAATTTATGGATTAAATATTGTAACATGGGGTTAAATGGCAATAACAAAATGGGACCCCATGGTAATATCTGAAAATAGGATTAAGAAGAGGCATCCGACGAAATCGAGTTGCAATCGGGGATTTTCATTCAATTGACGTTTTGGCGCTATGAATGAATTTCCAAGAAATTATAATGTGATGATAATATATTACCTGAATTCTGAATCAATATACATATACTGTTTCTGCGAAAAATACTTTATTCACACGGGAATATAGAAAAAAGAAACTAGTTCAAGCAAAAAAATACGCAGAAAATATTATTTGAAAGTTGGGAGTGAGTAGTTGGATGTTTTAGCTTGGCAATGTATGCCCTAGGGATGATTTAGGATTGAAAATCACTTAGTTTTTTTATGGTTGATAATGAAAAAGTAAGGTCGCTGTGCTATCAGTATACGTTGGTGGAGTACCAATCAGGTATAACAGGTGAGGACAAAATTAGATCAGTTGGCCAATCTTGACAAATTCACCAGGAATTAACTACTATGGTTTCCAGAAGGAACTGTCTGAAGTTCGAGTCAATAGAGTATATTGCTAGCAATGAGTTTACTATTTTCCGTTATTAACAATCTCCTACATTTTTTGGTAGTTATCACATTGTAATTGTCCTGAAACTACATAGAAGTTTTACTTACATTTGCCAGGGTTTCGTGTGCGTACTATGTCGGCGAGCGGGCGCGACATACCACGGTTGTTGGGCTCGCCTGTGTACCGCGTTTCCAACGATGGACACGCGGTAAAGCCCGTTTCATTCTTGTACGCCGGATATACTGGAAGAACGGAAATAATTAATTATTTACCAGAAGGAGACTTTGTACAATAGTCGTGTTTTTGGGTACCTCTATCCCAACCGTAAACATATCTACAAAGAATCCCGTGTCTTGTTCCATTCGTGTTTCAACTGTGAAGCAGTTGTGTTTGCATGGCTGTGTTTCGGTTTGAAGAGTAGGATATGGCGTGAGTTTACTGGGTACAGAGGAATAACACCTGAGTCCTCAGGAATGGCAACGCAAGGGGGGTATCATGGGCGAAACAGTAAACTCTGTTGTGTCCACGGCACGGCAACAGTTACCACTTTCCATCAGGTGGGCCGTCAGCTTGTTTGCCATTCTAAGTTGTATAAAAAAAAGTATTACAAAATGAATAGTGAAATATGGTAATAAAATTACAGGGTACGGAGGCATAACATCTTAGTAACTTAGAATGGCAACACATAAGCATACTATGGGCACCTTCTTCTCTCACGTCTTTAGGTATTAGGTATTTGCATTAGATAGATCATAAAGCTTGGTCTTTATACTCTAAATATCATAAAAAAAATTAAAAAGTAACAGTGATTCTAATTACAACAAATTATCTAGATAATTAAGCGACTTCTTAAAGACGGAGGTTATTAATTTCCTTGTTTATACAAGTATACTTATGTTTATGTGAAGCTATATCGATTACATTCGATAAGCGTTATTACTCCCGTGTTGGTCCCATATAAATTTATAAAATTTAAAATTGTTATCGCTATTCAATCGCTGCGTCGCGCTTTCTAAAAGCGGCTTAATCATCGCGATTGGAGTATATATCTGTGTAGCAGACGCGCCACGATGGCATCAAGCTTCCAAAAGCAATTCAACCGCCGATCATTGACGATACAGACAGAGACTACAAACGTGACGAAACAAATGTTGACTAGTAATAGTGTTATTCTTATTTAAAAAAGATTTAAGCACCCATATGTACCCTATATTTTTATATCTAGAAATGTAGCAGTGAACAAAAAGAAGTATCTAGAAACAAGATATAAAAATTTTAATTTGGTACTCGGAGTCGTATTCATCGTGTAATGTCTACATAGAATAGGCTACCCCTTCTTTTTCTGTGAGTGTCGTAAGAGGCGACTAAGGGAGGATGAGGGATGGCCAGTAGCGTTCCTTTAAAAATATCTCCAAAGCCTAACTGCGGTTGCTACTCAGCCTGCCAAGCATGGCAACTACTGGCAGCATTCCCCCGTTAGCAGTTAAAGGCTGATATGATGATGATGATGATGATGATGAATCGTGTACTATTTTATTTCGTAACGTAACGTGTAGTATTGTGGGCTGTAGCCCTAACTAATGTAACTGACCTTTTAATGAACAAATTTGGAATTGATTAACACCATTATTGGAACGTACATTAATTGTAGTTTCTAAACAATAGAGATGACCTCAAAACACTATTGTACGAGTAAACTGGTATTAAGCGATGCAAATTGAAACTAACTGGGCAACTTTTAGCATCGTGCGAAAATATCTAGACCATTGTTCTTTTCAAGGAAATAAATTACGCTCGGTTGTCTTAAAGGAATTTTTAAAGCGCCACTGAACACGCAGAATAGTCATGTGAATGTAACTGTAAAAACATTTTGATTAATATATTCAGGAAGACGGATCGGCTCATCATTATTTCGACCTCGTCTTTAATTCTGCTATAAAAAGTTGAAAATTGGATGTCTCAAAAAATAGTCTCCTCTAAAAACTTAAGCATAATTGAAGGTAAAAAAAAGGAATAGCAAAAACATTTGGAACATAACGAAGTGTATAATATACATACGTACTTAATTAAATATAATTTAATGGTCATATACAGAAAAAAAAAAAACAGAAAAGCTATTCGATTAGGTCGTATTATTTGTTTTATCATTATTAGTATGCGTAATAGTGCGACTATGATTCACAGTTTTGATAGTGCGACAATTAATTATTTCGTAAGATTAATTTTGCTTTGGAAATATTTGGACAATTTTTTTTGTAGCTTTGCAATATTTTTTTCTATTTTCACTAATCCCGTATCATCAGAATACTTGAAATGAAGATTCAACTGTCTCACACACGCGTACTTCGCTCTAATAACTCTCTTACTCTCTCATCATCGTTCTGCTATTCTTTCTAATTCCATCACTACTCACGACTCTGGAATGCACCAATCATTGACATAAGTGTCCAACAAATTTGCTCTAAAAAATACGTCTACAAATCTCTTATGAAGAAACTGTGAAAGCAGTTCATCACCATCATCATCTTTATCTCTATCACCTTTTATCTCTATTTTTGATTTATTGGTATTATAGTATATTATTGTGGATATATGTATATTTATATGTATATGTATGTTTTTATGATATATATTTGTAAAGGTAAGTAATATTTGTTTAATGTATTCATGTAAGTATATTTATATGATTATAATACGCAGTAGTTCTCCATTAACTTGTAAGTCAATAAGGATACGTCTGTTATTTTCAATTTTTCGCCGCATAATTACAATACGTTTTTATTTTGCCAAAAATAGACTGGGAGAGAATGCTTATACAGCATTAAGTCCCCCTTTTGCACCTAATTTTTTTTTGTAATGTGGTCAATAAAGAAAAATTAATTAATGGTCGCATAAATACTAATCGTGGCGAAACTTAACAAAATAACATAAATCTAGTAGCTAGAAATTGATATTTTTATCACTAATACCATAAGTTATATAAGTGACGTCAAATCTCATGAGACAAGTATCAAATATTTTACTTATTACTGCTCAGTACTAATATAACTAAAAGTATGAATCGTGTGCACTAAATGGATCAGATTCATTAAATATTGATGAAACATCAAACGAACGTTATACCTCTGGGACTTTCGTAATATGGTTGATTTAAATAAAATCAACAGAAGGCATTGTTACAAACGGCCGTCCATTAAAAAGTATTGTATGTTATGAATGGAAATATGGTACGGTTATAACTATGTATAGGTATAACCCAACCCTAGCAGTAAAAAGGGATTACTCCTTATTTTACTTTTCTTGATAAATATAAAGATACGTTTATCTGGAGGGAGGCAGCTTATGTGCCTATTTCCAACGACTTTTGTATGAAATGGGAGATACCTATTTCTATAGCAAAAACAATTGTATTCGACACCATGAGCCTATTATAACTTTTATAAGGATTTATTCAAAGCGTGTGGTCTCGGCATAGAATAGGTCTCTCCTTTCTATCCTGTAAGTGTCGTAAGAGCCGACTAAGGGAGGGCGAGAGATGGGCAGCAGCGTCCCTCTTAAAACATATTTAAAGCGTTACTGCGGTTGCCAATCCGCCTGCCAAGGGTGGGAACTACTGGCAAAACCCCCCAAGGGGGAGGCTTATGTTCAACAGTGGACAGTTAAAAGCTGATATGATGATAAGGATTTATTACAGAAGCTTTTAAATCGTCACCATGAATCAAAATAATCTGATTAGCAAAAAGAAGCAGTTTTTGTAACAGATAAACAGAACTTTGGTTGCCATCATATTGTTTCTTCTGCCTGCTTATTGTGCTCACCTAGTAAGTATAGAAATATAAAATAATGGCAACGTATTAAAAATATTAATTTCATCTATGGGTAAACATTATCTGGTGACTCAGTAAACATTAATTTATTACAATTAGAGATCATTGACGAGATAAAATTCAAATCAAATTTAAAATAATCTTTATGTTCTACCTCACTGGGCTCTTTTAAAACGTCATGCATGTAAGTTGGTACTCGTATATCAACCGTCTGGTATTTACCTTTTAATGGAATAGAAAAAAGTTTTTGTGCTTCTAACTAACAATGGGACTCACCCAAAGGTCTGTCGGGGTCATGGCGGCGGCTGCAGCACTTATTCCCCATGGCGCGGCCCGCCCGCTACGCCGCGCCAAGCTGCTTCTGAAATCAAAGAGAAAACAATCATAAATAGGCAGGTATTTAAAAAAGACATTCTCAATTAAACTTATAAATTAAAAAGTCCAGAAAGTTAAAATGCATATATAAGAAAACGTACTTGTATCATTAAGTATGGTAGTAATTATATTCCCCACAATTTTATTTCGTGAAGAAAAAAAATGGTCGATATTAAAGTATAAGGCTTTAAGTGCATTACCTAAAGTATCGTGCTCCATTGAAATAAATTTTTATGACTAGATACTAAAATCAAATCTATAGACGTTTTATCTATGATACAATACATTCTGAATAGGTAATAAATTATTTAAGATTTTGTTCCACAAATAAACTAAAATTTCTATCGAGACAGAATTAATACAAGGCCAACACGTTAGCAAACCTTATCAAATTAAAAAAAAATATAATTCTTTTTTTTAAATTATCAAATTATAAAAGTTATAAATTTTTTTAATAAAAATAAAGAAAATGAAATATAAATATTTTTTTTTTTTATTAAATAATGAACGTAGTTTCAAATTGAGAATGTTGGTTTGTTAAAAATAATTTAAATTTTTGTGGGTCACTATTGATAGTGAGAAATTTTATATATATAAGCAATATGCGAATAAAATCAATCAAATGCAAAAAGATTCAGATTTGATGCAGATACCGTATAATATATGATTGATCAATCAACCAATCGTCTGGTTATTTCCTTATTTAGGGTCAGTCCTGCTGACACTTTCACGGGTATTTAACTTACATCAAATTATCGAAATACATTTAAGTAAATTGTCAGTATTTTATTGGATGTATCAAATCCAGGTTCTCGACTCATACGACTGATAATGAAAAAAGTTCAATCAGTAGGAACGATTGTATTCGTACATATTGAGAGGTTTGTTGTGTTTTGCTTAAACGGCTGAATTTGGATAAAATTTGTTAAACATACACACATATTACCATATCCAATATCCAACGCATAAAAAACATTTTTTCCCATTTCAGGAGGGCAAACCCTGATATAGCTAGTCGCATATTGTTCGGTTACAAACGCTATAAATCTACTCGCCCTTATCACAAAACAGGTACTACAATAGTTCCCATCATCGCGTCCCACGTACTAGTAGTTGCTTGATAATATTTGATGGATCGATGTATACGGCAGCATTATCACCCAATGGTGGTATTACAACCAGATAATTGATAAAACTGTGATTTGTATTATTTATCCGACGAAATACTAACATCTAAGAATAAACCATGGTATAAATTATATTCTTCTACTATACAAATGTAAAACTTCGTTATATATTTATTATTTATATATTTATTATTTAATTTTGAACAATAAACTGGACTACAATTTGGTACTTAGATAAATTAGGTCCCACATTCTAGATTAATACATAGAAAATTGTTATTTGAATTCGTAAGGGCAAAGCTGCGTGATATAGTTAAATTATCATGCAGGTACGTATGCAATTATTTTAAATATTGTTTACTAGGAATTAAATTAAGAATCCCGTGTGGTTCCGTCGTAGAATTGCCAGCTCTTTCTTTCCCGTGGGTGTCGTATGAGGCGACTAAAAGAATTTTATGCTTAAAAGATGGGCAGCAACGTCTCTAAAAGCCTAACCGTGGTTGTTAACTCGCCCGTCAAGTAAGGCAACTACTGGAAAAATCCCCCAATGGGGGACGCCTATATTCAGCAATGAACAGATAATGGTTGATGGCATGATGACGAAATTAAAATTCATATTTCGTATTCATTATGTTACGCTTGGCAGGCGAGTTGGCAACAGCAGTTAGGCTTTGAAGGACTCTCGACCATTTAAATATTCATACTATAGTGAGGACTTACTTCTATTTGTGTATTATAGATTATCAGAAATTATAAATTAATATTGAAAATTGTATTTTATTGAAAATAAAACAATATTTTATTAAGTAATCATTTTATCACTAAGAAGAATCAAAATATCAGATAACCTTGTTTTTAAAACTCCACAAATTAATTTTTAAAATCATAAATAAACCTGAACACAATAAGATCAATCCGCCCTAAATGTTATTTCTATTAATAAAATAAAAATTCTGAAAAAAGAACAAGCATGATACATCTTTTTGAAGCTAGCTAGGATGTAAATATTCACATAGAGACAAAACTTTAATGTTAAAATTCTTATAAAGATTCCCTGTGTTATTAGGTTTGTTCTCAAAGTTTTTACGACTCTGTCACACCTGTACGGAATACCGAGTATTATTGACTTCGCAAATTCTCTATGAAGTCTGCCAAAAATATCAGCATTGTTATTTGTGAAACTACAAATCACCCTGTCTGGCCTTGACAATCGAAAATAATATATTGTCTTGTCTAATTACGCAACCATTATTTTCAAATATCTACTTTGAAATGTAACATAGAAACACACGTAGCACAAAAGGAACTGAAATCTTTTGATGACCTAAAATTATGTACTTATTTGAGGTAGGCCAATTTATAATGTCAACGTTATACCTGTCTATTACAGTTAAATATATTAACCAAGGGATAATAAAACGATGAGAGATTAAATAAGTCAGTTGATGTATTTTGAGGACTTGCAGCTCCTGCGACTTTGGCTGTAAAAATTTGTATAAAATGCATCCTATATGTCAATCTAAGATAGACTACTTCTATGTACCAGTTCGACGCTTAACCTCAAATATCCTCATAGTGCTAACACAATTTTACAGAGAATACAGAAAACATCTTCATTCAGAATTTATTCTAAATAATATAAAAACAAAAAGTAAAGTATGAGGGGGCTTCCGGTAATATATATATTAATAAACGGTATTAATTACATATAGTATATTATCGTAAAACAATAATTATTAGAACACGAGCAAAATATATCTAGATCTAGACACGACAGATGACAACTGAGTATCACAGACTATACAAGTATAAGGTGCATGATGCGTTCCTATTTATCATAAAGTGGTTAGTTTTAATAACACAATATAAAATTGACGAAAATTTCATGTTCCTTAATATTGGCACTTCAGCTGTTCGTTGATCAGTGGTCTTGTCTTCCTTTATGTACTACACCGCATAAATTTCCAGGTATTATTGCTTAGTTTAATAATCCGTGGCCAACAAAGCCGGGTGACATTTTGTCAACAATTCTAATACGCGTGAGGAATACACAATAACGTCCGGCGTATTGGTATTTGATGCCATGAATAGGGCATTAATTCTATAGAAATCAATGTTTTAAATTCTAAAGAATTGATTGATATTCAAATTATGGCTTGAGTATGAATTTTGTAATCCTCATTTAGAATTATTATGAGAGAATTCGAAGTGCAAGGGAGCTAAATATGCCTGTAATGATAATAGACTGTGAATCTGTTTGTTATCCAATTAGAGAACTAGCTTGTTTAAGTAATTTTTATCAAATTAATATACAATCAATGTATATATACATACATTAAGAGAAATTATTTACAAAATGCTCCGCTTTTGTTGATATTATTAAAACTTATCAGTTTTGTACTCATTCTTGACTTTTTATAAGATTTTCAAATCATCTCCATTTTGTTTTCTATGTACCTATTCTTAATAATTCGTTTTTTTAATCCAATAGGATTTACTCTTATGTTTGTTCGCAGTTTTTCTTTAAAAAGCAGAATTCCTCATGTTGCCGAGTAAAATTTATTTTTCGACACAAATCTATGTTCAAATTATAATTATTATTATTTTATAGTATATTTTTATTCTAATATGTCGAAAATAATGAAAGATCTCATAGTTTAATAATTTTTAAAGCTACGTCTACTTGTGTAATTGCCGAAAACATATTTGTTAGGTAATGAGATCATAAAATTTTAATTGTATAATTACAAGTGTTATAAAGATACGATTCCATGGAATATTTACCTTTAGAATAATAATCTTTATGCCTGTCGTAAGTAGAGACTAACTCACCTTAATAATTTTGGTTTTACCTTGTATATATAATTTTTAAATATATATAGATCTACTTTTGCGTTTATTGAAAAACGAATCAACGCATTTAGATAGAATTAAAGATTTTTTTACTTCGATTAAATAACAATTTTTCTCAGAATTAATATAACTTTTTTCCTTACTTATTTGCATGAAAACCGTAATGGCTGCGATATTTTTTTTTAGGAATTGCGTAGAATCAAAGATTAAGAAGATAATCCTTCGGATATGATAAGAGTATTTCATTAATTTGACGATAAAGGTTTAATTTTATCAATCGCTATTCTGATTATACTTTAACGATCTATTTATTACTAGCTTTTACCCGAGACTTCGTTTGACCGGGATAAAAAGCAGCTTATGTCATTGTCCATCGAATGTTCTATATCTCAAATTTCATGATAATTGGTCGAGCGATTAGGAACCCAAGAGGTTAAAATCAAGTACAAAACTCATTTTCACATTTGTAATATTGGTAAGAATAATGACTAGTTTTTAACCCACACTTTGTTCGTTTAACTGGGATATATGTATCTTGTACATGATATGATCTTCTTCAACCCAAATAGTAGATAGATACTCTTTATGGTTTCCTCTAAAAGATTACACTAGTAAACTTATTATAAATACAAACAATTACAATAAAGGTTGCACTTAGATTAGTACGGATAATTCAATTAGTAAAGTGGCAAAGGTAACAAAATGTAAGGTATGCAAAAATGTTTAAAACAAAGACACTTTTCCCATATAATAACAATATTGGTAAGCGTATCCATAACTACTTTCATGGCTCTTACTAAACCCTATCTTTATGTGGTAAAGTACAATTTCTTTCGTTGTTTACTCTATCCTCTCCCCAACTGTCTACATGGCAAGAGTGACAATGAAAAATGAATTGTTTACCTCTGTACCTTGTGTAGGTGCTATGAAATTCGAATCTGTGAGACTTTTTCACAATTGTTACTATATATACGTAGATATATTTTAGCGATTTCGTTTTTTTTTT